GTATCACATAATTGTAATATATTTAAAGATTTTATTTTACTATAAATTTTATAAATTGAATTACGCTTCAGACACTTTAACGGTTACCGTTACCTAGTTATATAAGTAATGTAAAAAATCTAATAATAAAAAAATGAATTAAATTTATTTTTTAAATATATCTTAAAATGATTAATATAAAAAATATGTATAATATAATAAATGATGTAATTGAAAAATAAAAATAAATTATTTTATCTTTAATTAGATAATGTTTATTTATATTATAGATTTATAAATTAAGAGATGTAAAGTTATAGAGCTATAAAGTATAATTATTATTTTTTTAAAAAATATATAATATAATATATTAAGTAAAAGTTTTATTATAGGTTTTGTACAATATAAATATATGATTTGTTCATATATGAAGTCTATAATTTCTAAGTGTATAAAATATGTATTAAAAAAAATCAAATAATTTATTTAATATATACTTTATATAAATGTTTTACTTTTGATTACTTATTTTTGTTTAATTTATTAAAAGGTTAATTTATATCTTTAGTAATAGAAAAGGTAAAAAGGTGAAAATTGTTAAAAGTATTAAAAGTATTATAATATGGTTATAACTTATTTTATATTTTCTTCTGTAAGTTTTCTTTTTCTATTGCAAAGATCCTTAACTTTTATTTATTTCTTTTTTTAAAAAAAAGTTTTTAATTTGAAGTGAAAAGTTTTCCAATTGATGTAACTAAAATATCTCAATTATATTAAAAGATACATATTTATCTACAGTATAAAGTTTTAAAGAAGATAATAATAATTTTTATGAAATTAATTGATATAACTTAACCATAGTTAGTTTCGGTTTTAAGTTACCTCAAGTCTACATTAATAGATCAGTAGATCAATAAGTTAATTAAAAAGAAATAAATGAAATAAAAGTTGTCTATTTGAATAAGTACCATAAATGTAAAATATTTATTAAAAAAAAAACATACAAAGTATTTAATGTAAATAATATACAATATATTACAAAGTGTTCCCACAAAAGGCGAATAGTAAAAGAAAAAAAAACTTTTAAAGAGGAGGACCAATGCCAAATGAAACGAAAAAAGCGATGAATAATAAAACCGAGATACAATGCCATATTGAACCAGGAGAAGTTTTAACAAGTAAAGCGTATAAATTATCAAATATGGGCGGAACAACTATGCGAAGAAGTGAATCGATCACACTTATTCCACCTAATAATTGACCTATTTGAGACGGAGATATTAAATTCGTCTGTAATGATTTTATCGCCGGGGTCGTTATTATACCTATGGCAGCTATAACGGTGACTATTAAATTTGAAAGAGAGAGAAATGATGATTTAAAAAGACGAAGAAGGTGAATCACGAAAAGCAAAGAAAGTACTTACCTCCGTTAAATATCGAACCAGATTTTGCTAGGCCATACGCGACATGAGCTAATCCATCAATTAAGAATACTATTCTGATAACCCAAACTTCAAAGATCAATTCCTTCCTGAGCAGAGTCTTCTCATCTTCAATAGTAATTTGCTCTTCTGTATTTTTTTTCATATTTTTCGAAAAGATGGATTTGATTTTAGATAATAACAAAAGTGTTTGTTTCTTGAACCTTACTAATAGAGGATATAAGACAAATAAAACAAATACTTTTGTTCCACTCATCAAGAAAATGAAATAACCTTGTTCTATCAAGGTCCATTTAAATACTAATGATGTATATAATACAGTCACTCCAGACATTGCCATTATAGAAGCCGATAATAAAGAGTATACAATTGCTAATAATGAGAATGAATATTTTGTAGCAGAAAAAGGAACTGTATCGCTATCAATTTTTTGTTGTCGTCTACCATTCGGAAGGAACAATAATAGTGGCCTAAACATGCTATAAACTAATCCAAGGAAGGAATCAACCCATTTCATTCCCGTCCAGTTAATTGAAAATAGTTCTTGTTGACGTTTTACGTTCGTCAACAATTTTTCTTTTGATAGAGATTCAGGTAATATAAAAAAGTAAAATAAGACCAACAAAATATACATTACAAGCGTCACATAATACACCGAAAGTAAATTATCCGTTCCTTTGATCAAATATCCGCCTATTGTGGGCCCTACTGAATATCCTGCGAACATAGCACCTTGTATCTATCCAAACATCACACTCCTATTAAACATCCAAAGTGGTTGAAAAACAGTGGTTAAGTAAATTATAAGAGAAAAAAGGGGTAAGTATACTACTGTAAATTACCTTCGTGTTGTATGAGTACAATCTGTAGCGTATGCGTAGCTTGCTTCAGATAATGCATAGAAACCTCCAGTTACTCCATCTATAAATGATCCTATTAAATAGGTATATAATCCAACCTTATCATAGAAGTTACTGACTAATAATAAATTTAACGTGGTGAGAAAGGTTCCTATAGCCGATATCAATAAAGTTGATTTACGCCCCTTCCTATCCGATAATGTTCCGAGTGGTCCAAGAACAAATATAGCTATATAAATCGAGAGGAGAGTATAAGTGAAGGCAATTTAGAGGCTTAGGAAAATATTTTACACATTCTAGATTGAATTCGCTCCTTTAATAAGATCATTACCTGGGATAGCAGTAAACAAACTCGACTTCGCAAGATACTGGGCAACTTTGGCTTGCACATCAGCATTGATACACGCATCATCGAGATTTGATTTAAATGATAGAGGAACTTTTTCTGGATAGAGATCATGACACACTGCCAATACATAAAGCTGGGTTCCAGCGGCAGCGCTTAGCCCACTTGTCATCGAAATAGCTATGAACATTGGTAGCAACCAGTATGCGGAAGGTGTTTTATACCATGGTTTTTTACTAGATGATTCTGATGGATTAGGGAGCACATGTTCCACATCGATTTCATCAGAACTAGATTTTGCGGCCATTTTTTTTTTTTTTTTATGAAAGATAAAAAGGTAAAAAAAACTCTCAGTTGGAATAAAAAAAAATGGAACTATTTATGTCTAAGGAAAACCTTACCTTGAAAGAAGAACATATCTTGGGGAATTACTATTTTCCATTTGACATTTAACGATAAATCTATTCTATAAAGGTTAGCTTTATCTATAATAGTTATTGTTAACCAAAGAAGAATTTGAAAATTGTTAAACGTTTGGAGCAAAAATTTTGTATGAAAATTTAGCTTATCCAATCGGAAAAACATTTATCCATGCAATAAAATCAGGATAGTTATTGTTCTAACTATCAATAACCCAACAGAAAATTCCGGACAAAGCTTGCCAAATACTGTAACATTGTCGACTTGAGATTGATATGTTTTATACGCCTCGAAACTTTACTACTAACCTAAGGAAGAAAAATTGCTAGTTCTTTCTTAAAATTCTCACTCGGTGTAATGAATACACTTATTTTTGTCCCTTATTCTTTACTAAAATATTCAAGAGATGATTGCTTACAATACATGATAGTCGTCTTTACTAAGTTGTCAAATAACGGTCAAGGGATCAAAAAGATGATCTCTATCTGATAACCTATATGGACATATTGAAATAGTTGCTAATTCCATATAAACCGAGAATTTTAAGGAAGAACGCGTGCTTATGAAGGAGGCAAATCTTGAAGATAAGAGCAGAAACGCCAGAGATTTATGAGGAAGATTTACATTATAACAACGGGAAAGTCGGTGAAACTCAATAGATCAATTATACCTTAAAAAGAAAGAGATCAAGCTGGAATGGATTTCTTCGTTATCTGGTCATGTTATTTATAATCGAGTTAATCATTGCCGACTCGGACTATTGTTTTCACTCATTCTATTGGAAAATGGTTATTCTCTAAAATTAGAGTAGACGATAGATATTGTTCACGAAGATCAAATAATAAATTGAGTTTCCTTTACCAAATGCGCGTTATCCAAGTAGATTAACAACTTTCACTTCCTTATTTAATAAAACATCATTTTCATTTTTTTTAAGTTGATGGATATTTTGCAATAGTAATTAAATTGCCTGACGGATGAATTTTTGGATCCCCAACGCGTATCTCCAATAAGATACAATTTGTAAATTGTCATTTAACTCGCTCAAGATTCTCTGCGATGGTATCTCTCTATGCTAATAATTACGCGATATGTTATTAAAGTTTAAAAATCATATTTCAGACTGTTTATCTCGTTTATTATAATGTTAACATCAAAAGTTTACCCGAGATTTTATTGGCTGTCGAAATATTTATTATTCATATTACCTTTTTTGTATGTAATATGCCTACTTTTAGTAATAATTTTCTGAAATTATTGTAAGCACAAATAAACATCATAATGCCAACATATAAATAATAAATATAACCCCCTTTATGTTTCACGTAAATTAATAACGGATCGCCTCTAAAGAATTTGTTGCTTACAATTTAAAAAGATGGGACAAAATATTTTTAAAACATTTCCATTCAGATCTAAGATTATCTTTTCATCATTTTCTTTTACTCCTCATATCAATAATAATTGAAAAAAAAAAAATAAAATATTTTTTATTTAGAATAAAATATACAAAATAGAAAGATATATATCGGTCCACATATGTGAAAAAAAGTTCATACATATATTAAAAGATTTTTTTTTTTTTTTCATCGTTAAAAATTTACACTTGAAAAAGAATTAAGAACTTTACAAGCGTTGCCTTTTTAAAATAATAACAACGATGATAATTAGATAGTTGAACATTATCCTTTAAAAGCAGAAATATATCAATATCTTACCGCTTCTTTATCGACAATAATAATTCCATTAGCTGCTCCAGTTGCTGATATGAGATCAAGAACAAACATGGCTTTGATTGGATCTGTTCTACAATATCCCAAAGAAGTTTGTGAAGTGTTCGCAAACCACATTCCTAAAATTTACGAAATTTTAGAAATTATTTTATATTGATAAAAATTCAACATTAATAACATTCCTACTTACTTCCACCGTGTTTCGATTTTGCGCAACTATTTCCATTTTGAGCAATACCGCATAATCCACAATTAACCGCAGCACAAAATTTCCATTCGGCATTTCCATAAAGTCGAGTCGCGTCACAAACAACTTGAGTTCCATGAAACATTCGATGAGTGACGTTATTTGCTGGCTGATTACCAGAAATTTGTTTCTTGTATGTTTCATGTGCTTGAATTAATCTCGCTGGCATAATCACTCTAAAAATTGCTAAAATACGCGCGTTTGGAAGTCCAACTTTGAAGAATTGTCTAAAAAAAAAAAAAAATGAATTTTTCATGTGAATAATTTTAGGTTAAACAAGAAAAGAATTACGCGTATAGTTTTTTTGACAATGATACTTGCTGTGTAGCCATATAATCATGGTCGTCCAATGGCAGGTTAAATATTTTGGTTGCGGGTCCAGGTAAATTATCAAGATATTGTTGAAATTGCAATTGTTGTAGTGCAGCATTTGATCCCGGTAATTCGTTTCGGCACATTTCACATTGTGGCATCGAAGGATGATTCATGAATGTACAAGTTGGACATTGCGTCATATTAACATCATGTTTAAATAACGAAGGTAGGTTGAAAGTGGTTTTACGAGCAACCCCAGCGATAGGAGAATAACACATTTCACATTGGACACTATCAGCATCATTATAATAAGAACAGGCCGAGCATGCTTTTTTTGCCCGTGTTTCTAGTTGATTAAACCTCCCTCCCGCTGTTGTTCTATTTTTTTGTTCCGGCGGTGGTGACTTGATTAATTGTGAGTAACAAATTTCACAATGAGTCATGGAAGGATGATTATTAAAGTTACACGCTGAACATGTAATCTCATTATCGTTTGGAGGAGGTGTAGGCGGTTTTTGCGGATTCTGCACATTACGTCTTGAATATTCCCTCGTGTTTCTGTAATTATGTTGTATAGGCTCTGGAGGTGGTCTTGATCTACGATTTGATGTGGGCTCATAATCATCAATCCAAAGTTCGTCATTTGGAGGTGACGGACGTGGATTAAAGAAATCATAATCTGATCTGGTATTTTGTCGAGATGACGATGATGATGATGATACTCCAAAACCCGAATAATCATAATAATTTGATCTTTCATAGTTATTCGTTTTGTTAGAATTATTTGATCTATCATTCTTATTTGAAGAGGAAGAATGATTATTATTTCGCCTTGGTAAAGGAGGTATAGGATCCGCGAATGGATTTAAGGGTTCTTCATTCTCATCCTCTTCGTATAAATCACGAAAACTTGTAATTGTAGATTTTGATTTATAATGACTTTTCTTTGGTTCAAGCCTAGTTATGGTTGTACCACACATTTCACAAACGGTCTTATTTGGACGGATAAAAAAAGTACACGCGGGACATTGAATCTCTTCATCATCGGAAGGAGTGGTTGATCGAGGAGTAAGATTAGATGACGAATATCTTGAATGATTGTTATCACTTGAAGGAGGAACCCATAGTGGGTCAACCGAAGCTCCCAACCAAATTGGAAAATCATCAGTTGGATTAGGACGAGACACCGACAAAGGTGAAGGGGGGGCATCATCAGGTTCCCAAAGGGGTGTAACTTGAATTCTATCATTAGTGGCAAAAATATCATCATCTTCGAAAGCATATGGAGGAGGTCTACTATTATCAGGAGTCCAAACTCCCCATTGATTTGAAGTATTGGCTTCAGGAGTATAAGTTGGTGGTTCCCAAGATTCTTCTTCATATTCTGAACCGGGAGCATAATTGTTCATTTGACAGCTTGTACTACAATAATTTAGTACAGTTCCATTCTTTTCCCTCTTAACTTGATTATTACAACCAGGTTTCGCACAAATGTTATCCTTTCTCGATTTAAATATCTTTAATGACTTTAACATTTATTATTCTTCAAACGTCACTTTTTTGAAAATGTTCGTTTCCCTAAATAAAAAGGTTCCCCAAACGATAACAATTGAAAAAAATATATATATATCTCATAAAAAATATAATATATACACCCTCTTATTAAAGTTAAAATAAAACGGAATCGATATACGCTGATACGATGATAGAAAAAGCTTGTAGAATGCAAAAAAAAAAAAAAAATAAAATAAATAAATAAGAAAAATAAAAAAGAAAATCGGACTAATATGTTGTTAAAATCCTTTTCTCATTTAGATCGTACAATTTTAGTATGACAAAGAACATGAACACGAATATAGACATATTTGTAAACAAATAGGTTAAGCTTGGTGAAACGATAAAAGCTATGGCTGAAATCATTTCGAAAATTTGCCAGGAGTTACCGAAAATTACAAATGAAATAATTAATTGAACTTATGTGGTCACTGTCGTGCTTTGCTCAAAATAAGAAGTTTCCAAATTGAGTGACAAAACCAGTTAGTTATACAACAAAAAAGGAACGCCGATTGCATGTGCTATTATTTTACACTTTTTAAGGTGGACAAAACCCTACATACATATTTTCAAAATATTTATGATTGCCTTGCTGCGGTATTGCGGTATCTACATAAAAAGAAATAAAGCGTTTGTGAATTTCTCAACCCGAGGTCAAAATATTTGATGCATAATGTTTCAACTTAATTATTGTTAATGTATTATAACTTATGTATCAATGATTATTTTTGTAGGACCAACTAAATTGAAGAAATTTGAATATAAACAAGAATGAATTCCGTATTTTGCTTTTGAAAAAAAATTTTTTATTTATTTTTCTTTTTTTTATAAAAAAAAAAATAAATCTTTTAAGATAAATATGGCACTATATATAAGAAATTATCAATCAATAAACCCATTAAGGAAACCAAAGATCCTAACATTTACGGCGCTCCTTTTTTTCTTTACACTTTATATATTAAGTTTTGATTTTCAAATAAACGATCCATCAAACGTCCCACCATTAATAGATTTAAATGCACCAGATGGCACATCATACTTGACCACAGAACCACCATCATATGGTTATAAAAATTACAGTGAATTTATCCCAGGAAGTCTACCATTAATAATTTCCATATCTCATGGAGGTCACTTGTTTCCTAGAGACATTCCTGATAGGAAGAAAACAACTCCAGGCATGGTAAAATCTAATGATATAAATACCCAAGAAATTGGTCATCAGCTATCAAAAATAATCACGAAAAGATTTAACGGAAGAAAACCTTACATGGTAATTAATCATTTGGGAAGGAGTAAAATTGATGTTAACCGTCCCTTGAAAGAAGGAATTGAAATTGAAACTAGTAATGAAACACAAATTGTTTGGAATGATTATCACACTTTTATGAAAAACGCCGTGGACGAAGTTGAATTACGCTTTGAACGTGGGTTGTTAATTGACATTCACGGTAAGTGACAGTTAACCAATATTTCTCATTTCACGACAAGTGAACTCAAATGAAACATTATACATAGGTCACGGACATACAGAAAATTACATTGAATTGGGATATGCATTATCGCTAGAGACCTTATCGATTCCCACCGATACACTAAATACCAACGAGGAAATTGTTTTTGGATCGAGCATAAGAGCATTATGCGCTCGTAAACAAAACGAGCTAAGTTTCTCGGAAATATTAAGAGGAGAATCTACTTCACTTGGCGGAAAATTGCAAATACTTGGATATGACACGATCCCTTCTCATGTACATAAATATCCATTACCAACTGAAAGGTATTTCCATGGGGGTTATTCCGTACAAAGATATGGTTCAAGGAACAATGAACATGTTGTCGATGCGATACAATTAGAGTAAGTATTCAGCGATAATTTTCACAGTGACCTTTGCAAATTTTAATCATTAATTCTATCTTTTAGATTACCAAGATTGTTGAGACTTGGAAATAGTAGATTACGAGAGACATTCGTTAAAGATTTGGCTAAAGCTCTCGGTTGGTTTATCCAGACATATTATTTTGCGGAATAGTCTATAAAAGTGTTAATTATTATAATTTTAATAAGTTTAGAATTTTTTTTTTTTTAAAAAAAAAAAGGACAATGATAAATGTAATTTTTAATACGTTGTATTTATTTATCAATCATTAAAAATACGAAGGGGATCCTTTATTTAATAATTTCGTAATATAAAAAATATATATCATCAATTTTTTTTTTTTAATAGTAATTACATTTTTAATCAAAGCGCGACGATCTCCTTCTTTGCCATCAACTCTTTATATCGATTAAATAAAATAGCAGGAAATAAGATCTCAGTTTTTTTTGTAAAAATTACAGCTAATTTCAGCTAAAAATGTAATGTTGAAAAATAAATATTTATAAATAATGCAAATGCTTTGTTAGGAATATTATTTAATGCGACAATTATTAAATATATATTTTAATTATTACAGTACTACTAATATGACCAATAAACAGTAAATCTTCACCAGGAACTCAAATCAATTTCCAGGGTGTATTGTTTCACATTTTTAAACATAATAAATATCAGAAAAGATTAATGCGTCAGAGACGAACCCAAAGTTGGCCAGAATACCCGACATCTTTATCTTTAAAAGAATTTCCAGCTGCATATGTTGTGGTTAACGGAACCCAAACCGATAACCTGTGATCATGAGAAAGAAAAACAATCGCCGGGTTATGAAACGAACTTAAAGTATTATCCATTACCTACTTGACAATAATAAAAGAACTTTCGAGAAGTTCATGCAAGATATAGAAAAGGAATATATGGGTTGATTGCTAGGAAAATCAGGTTCCGGGAATTTTTTAGCAAAATTGAGATTTTTATTGCATTTTAGTTTTTGATGTTATTAGATTAAAATGTATTAAGCTCTTAATTTTAGTCAAAAATTTCTCGGAACCTGATTTTCCTAGAAACACTCCCATATAATAGTTGCGATGTGAAGTTGAGGATTTAAAGTTGCAGGTGCAGGAGGCGGAAAAAAAGTTATCTATAAAATTAGATTCTATTCGTTAGCTTAGGTACTTTTTTCCCTCGCTTCTGCCTTGCCTCTATCTCTTTCTGTAGGTTCAGTGTGTCAACCCTTAGTTGAATCGCAAGAGAATCATCCTTCGGCCTACTGAGATCAAATACAATGAACTTACCTTTACAAAGGTAGCTATTAATCTTGAGGAGAAAAATATTTTAATTCTGTAATTCTGGTTAAAAGTCACTCGGGTGGAAATTTTTGAGACGAGCAAGTGACGTGACTTTTTAATGAAGTAGCTTAGTATAATAGATCGCGATTCACAAACAATCACGTGACGTAAATTTTGGGTACATAAAATATACCGTGAACGTGCTTGTTGATGGCATGTTTGTTACTCTTGCTTTTTTTTGCTAAGCTATTCTCATTTGTAATTTATATCCAGCTAGTGCACAGTACTTTGAAACAACTCCTGTAAGCGTTTGGTCTTATATTGGATACTTAAAGGCAATGAAGCCATACTTCTATGCTTATGCAACAATATTTTCATTAAAATCTATGTTGCGAAAACACTTCTTGGCTAATGTAAGAGTACTTGAAACTTGTCACAATCTAGAGAACAGAAAGTTGCTATCTCCCATATAAATGAAGTCTGTAAGCATTTCTGTTTTGCTAACTGATACAAACAGCAAAATCTATAAGCTTATGAAAGGTGACGTCCTTTACCAGGGTTGTTAGATAATGCCCTCTTATAGCATTTTGTGAGCTTGCTTATATATTTGTATTACTGAGAGGAAGGTGATACCCTTAACCTCTTGGAGTTAAGTAATAGCCTTAATGCTATATGTAGCAAGCTCTTAACATATTTATATAGGAATTGCTCTGTATATTTGAATATATATAATTGCTTTTTCTATAGAAAAGCAATAAATGAGAAATATCAGAATATTAGAGTCAAAACAAATGAGAAAGGGAATTAAAGGCAAAACAAGTATGAAAATATGGATTTAAATATTTTAATAGAATTATTATACTAGTAGTTATTAATATGAAAAGTTTTACTGAACAGTTAACTATGAAAAATCAAACATATTCTTCTGCGTTGAATATGCTAAATGTTGCAATTAATAATCAATCAAACTAAGTTATTAAGTTGTTTAAAGAACAATTCAATACTTACCTTTTCTCTAATAACAATTTTATGAAAATGGCAAAAGTTAATACTGGTAAAAATTATCTTAGTATTGAATGTTGGGAAAAATCAGAATCATCTTTTAATACTAATTATATTTTTTTGAAAATAAATTAAAAGGTTTTCAATAAGTATGCTTAAAGGTTAGGTAATTTTTTATTATAGGATACATTATTAATAAACATAACCTTTGATCTAGAGTGTAAAGAAAAGAAATATGCAGAAATTGATGAATTTTTTACAGATAAGAGAAATTATGAGATTTATAATGGTGATATCAATTTTGTAAAATATATAAAAAAAACTAATGCTAATATCTCAATCATAGGTCTTTCATAGTGATACTAATATTAGAGATAAATTGGCAAAATATGTTGATATAATCCCTGAGATTCAGAAATGTTTGAAATAAGTTTATTATATTGTCAGATATCATAAATATTAGTTATAATTATATTAATCAAAGATTTTTTTCTTATAATCTTATATATTAAAACATTCTTAACCTGATTGAGGATTTCCTAATTAAATATTTTTTTCAACAAAAGACTAAAAAGAAATAATGAAAAGCTTTGAAAAGGATATGAAATTAGTTGAATCAAATAAACCAAATATAATCATATATTTTTTTAATAAAATAGAAAAGGTTTTAAGTAATTTTTTATGTTATAATGCTTTAAAAATGTTATTGACTAATATACTTTTAGATAACAAAAAATGAGAATAAGAATATTATCAATAAATTAATAAGTGAACTTCAGAAATAATAGAATATAATCAAAATATCAAGCTCAC